CACTGTAAAAATACCAAATGTACAGAAAAGCAGCTAATCCAAATAAATCCCAATGAAACTCACACTTAACCATAGAATTACAAAAAATTTACTCCAGTCTCTAACAATCGTGTCCAGATTATTTAGATTTCAAGTCATAAAAATAAATAGGTTCGTAGTATTAGAAATGTTCTCAGAGCTCAGATATCAGTGACTTGTCCCGGCGGCCGTCTTGGAGATTGTCGTCTTGTATAATTACCCTTGTTGAGAATCCCGTTTACTTACCCTAGTTGTTGATTGTGTATACTGATCTTAGTTGCGGATCGTGATTACCTTTCCTAGTTGTGAACCTTGCATACTTACCCTAGTTGTGAATCTAGTGTACTTACCTACGTCTGTTGATTGTGTATACTGACCATCATACATACTGCAGATTGTGTTTACTTACCCTAGATGTGAATCTTGTATAATTACCCTAGTTGTGGTTCGTATATACCTAACTAAGTTGTGAATCTTACTTACTTACCCTAGTTGTGATCGTGTATACATCTTGTAAAATTAACCCAGTCGGTGGATGTGGTATATTTGATCTATTGTTGAATCCTGTAACTTACCAATGGTCCCTGTATGCTGGTTCTAGTGTAGACTAACCTTGTATATGTGCATAAGTAGTGCCCCTTGTTTACCTGATCCTAATTCGAATACAAATCACTGTATGCCCCCCAAACTATATTTGAACCCGATTTCTATTACACTTACGTATACAGCCACCTGTTTTCTTCTTCCAAGTCTCACAATTCTGAATTTGATCAAATTATTTATTGAAAGCCAACACAGCCTCCAACTGTCTTTGTCTGTAGCTTGGTTTGTGCTTGTGGACGGACGGAATTCTTGGTGATGACGACTTTTGTCTGGTGTGGACTCTCTCTGCACTTTTGCACACTTTCTTTCATATATTTATATAAATAATCAATCGTGGTAACTATCACTCTACATTATTTTTTAATTATTATATATATTAGAATGTTGACTTACTTATTTAGTTATCTATTCATTTATGTTTTCTGTATTTTGGTACATTGTATTTGGTGACGGATTAGCATAAGCCTCGGATTGTTTCCGAAACCCTATTTATATAAAAATATAATACTGTTTAAAACAAACTTGTCAAGTGTTATGAAACCTTTGAATGATTTGCTGATAATCCAAGATGTATCTTGGATAGGGGATAAAGCTCAAGAAGAAGCATTTTCAAGGATCAAGAAACTGATAACCTCAAGTCCTGTTTTAGCTGTATTTGATATTCAGAAACCAACAATGGTTAGTGCTGACGCGAGTCATTATGGTATAGGTGGGGTGAATAAGCAAAAATACAATGACACTTGGAAATCTGCTGCATACTGCTCTAGAACATTAACTGATGCTGAAACTCGCTACGCGAATGAAACAATGTCATTAGTTGGGGCTAGAGAAAAATTTGATCAATATTTATGGGGTCTAAATTCCTTTAGTAACTGATCATAAACCCCTTATTCAATTAATAAACAGAAAAGACATTGATCAAGAACCAGTAAGGTGTCAAAGAATGCTGATGCGCTTAATGTGATATAATCCAATATTATCGAATATAATATTCCCTGGGGAAAACAATGATAGTAGCCGATACGCTTTCAAGAAGTCCACAGTAAGACAGTAGTTCTAACGTGATAAAAGAAGATGTTCGAGTTTATATTAATCCAATAAAATATCTAATTGAATAACATTCGCCAAGCAACTTTCAAATGATGAAACTTTACGAAATGTATTACAAAATGTTAAAAATAGTTGGCCAGATTTTAAACGTGATGTTAATCCGAAAATTCTAGTTTATCTTTCGGTTCGTGTAAGATTATGTTAAATAGGTGGATTATTAATTTACTGTAGTAGAAGTCGATGCGTCAAGAAATGATTGATAGAATTCATGATTGACATTTAGGACTTGTGAATCAGAGCAGTAGATCAACTCAACATAAAGAACCGTTATTACCAACAACTATGCCTCAACGCCCTTGATTTATTAACATTTAAAATTAAACAACATAATATGGTGATGGTAGTCGATCATTATTAAAGATATATTGAAATGATTCAACAACAGGTGCAAAAACAATTCATAAGTTAATTGTTAATGGGAAGACAACTACGTACAACTCTTTCCAGAAATTTAAACCCAACATGGCCGAATCTAAGAAATTTGACGGGTAGGGATAAAAAAAAGGACAAAACGAAATTTTGATAATCATAAAGCCTCAAGTGATTTGGAAGAACTTAACCGAGGTGACAATCTGACAATATTATTGTGAAATTAGATTGGTAGAAACGTGGAATTCCAGGTCATTGTTAACAAATGTGTTCAACTATGTTGATGATGATGAATTAGATCCAATTGATATAGATATTATTGTTAATAATCATCGGGATGTAGATCCACCAGATCCACCTCCTGATAATCCGCAACCTGTCCGTGTCGAACAACCTGTCTTACGTCGCTAGGGTCGTACTATTGTAGAACCTGCGTGATATCGTCATTAAATAGCGGTACATCGAAATTTATGTTAATTTATTTAAAAGTTAATAACAGAATGGTAATGTTAATTGAAGGGACTTTTATAAGAGTAGATATATTAGTTCAGATAGATCAGGGATATGTTGAGAACATGAACAAACATTAATTTAAAAATTAAACGAGACTTACCTGTAAGTTGAAGTTTGATTGTATTTCTATATCTGTCAGGTGACGGTCTTAGAGGTAACATAAGATGCGCACGCAGCCTCCTACTTCATATTTTAAAGGTGAATGATAGCAAACAAACCTAAACCCAAGAGTAAAGGGCGGGCAACCAATTCAACCCTTGGAACTCCATTGGGCGGGCATGTTACCTCTAAGACCGTCACCTGACAGATATAGAATTACAATCAAACTTCAACTTACAGGTAAGTCTCGTTTAATTTTTAAATTCTATATCCGTCAGATGACGTAGTCTTAGAGGTCCCATGAGATTTTCAAAGTTGCTATCATGAACACAGACTCTTGATAACAGACAATATTTTAATTTTACTCATTTAAATAAAACATCTTTTCCAAATGATATTCATAAATTAGTGTTAATATTGAGTAAAATCTTTTCTCCAAATTCACCTTCTTTAATTAAAGGCTTCTTATAAAATTTTCTGAAGGTACTATCCTTAGTCCAACCTGCAGTAGCAAGAATAGTATCAATAGATACACTATTTCTCTGAGCAGCACTACATGAAGCTGAACGAATAGAATAAGGCACAAAAATACTAGTATCAACACCTGATAATTGTAAAAGACACTTTAACCACCTAGAAATAGTATCTCTAGAAACTTGCTTATGTGGTTTCTGAAAACTTATAAACAGTCTTTGACTGGTGCCTCTTATATTAGTCGTACGTTTCACATATTCATTAAAAACAGTTACAACACATAATCTCCTATCTGGAGGGAAACCTGGTAAAACTAATTCTTCTTGATGAAAATTAGGACGAGTTTGTTTTAATAATTCACATATTCTAACTCGAATGAAGATT